ATTGTCGCTCTCATTATTGAGCAGAAGCTCATTACGCTAGCGTAGTAGAAAGCATGTTGTACGAAAAGTGAGGTTATGTAGTCATTAAACGAAACGTAAACATTTCTGGTTATCACATTGAATGGTTTATAATTATCTACTTTGCAGTAAAATATCATAAAAAACATTTTTGAAGGATGAAAAACCTCACTTTTCACACAACATGTTTTTTACTACGCTAGTGCAATGACCTTCTGCTCAATAACGAGAGCGACAATCTCCGAACGTCGCGCGCAACTGTAGCAAACGTTTCCCAGTAAATAAAATACAAAAAAGTAAACAAACATTGTTTAATAAATTGTGAGTTAACTGTTTTCTAATACATTATTTCTCTTGTGCGGTATTAAAGCGTGAAAAATAAGGAAAATTTTGATCTTTAAACCAATTTATTTGGAGTAGCAGGAAAAAAGTGAATTTTTCATTATTTATGGTTGTATTTTTTAAATAAACAATTGTTTTTACTTAAAAAGTGATTATTTTGGACCTTTATATTAATAAATATTATAAAAAAAAATGTTTCATTTAATTTGGAAAGGTTACTCCGAAAAGTGCTAAAAAACTCATGGAATGTCACATAAATATATATATTTTTTTGTAAACTTACCTTATATTTAACGGTTTTCTGTTTTTTTTGGCATTTTTAAGACAATCTCAAAAATAAAGAAGGCAAAACCAGAATAAAAATAAACTTTAACGTTTTTATGTGCCTACCCTGCTAAAAATAAAATCACAGAACTTCAAAAAATTAGTCAGGATCTCTGACGTTTTGAGACCGAGTACCTAACCCGTGAGCTAACTAACCCAACTGAGATCGTAAAAGCAGAATTCGGTTTTATGAAAATAAAAGATCTTATTACTTTTTTTCAATTTTATCAACATATTTTGTTGATGATTATTATGATTACTAGCTGTCTACGCGTGCGTAAATTTACTAACAAAACATGCTTTACGATAATTGTTAAAGTAAAATTGTGTGAATATAGAAATTAATTAATAAATAGTATTATAGTAAATAATTGCATTGAAACATTCATATTTTCAAAGTTTGAATTCATTTCATGTTACATATTTGTAATTTTTACAAAAACTGTAAAGAATTTTTGTTGTTTTTATTTGAAAAAATTTAGAATAAATTTATAATTTAAAAAACAATTGTTAAAAATTTCGCCTTTTTACATAAAATATTTTGGTCTATTCTATCTTCATTTTCGATTTTTATTTTACGAAAACTTCGTTTCCTAAGTTTATCTATCTCTTGTCTGTATTCTTTTTTTTCTATCGTTTCCTTAAGCCTCAGTTTTCTCTTTCTTTCAGTACTTTTTATACGCTGGTTAATTTTTTTCTCATTATCTTCACCTAAAGAACGCACAAGCATTTTTATTGAGTTTGAATTATTATTTTTACTCTCATCTATATCATCATTGGTAATATTAGAAAAATTAGAAGAATTTGATTTTCCATAACGGAGTTCATTTACTCGATTTTTATAAAGACAATTCCAATCATATTCAACAAATAAATGCATATTATCTGATGTCTTTATAGAAGGAAAGGGACTTAAACGATTACTTCTAAACATAAAAACTAAATGATTTCTCATTTGACTGTGAACGAAATCAAGATTATTCGGATTTAAATTGAAGAATATACATGTTGCAAATGCTATTGCAAATAAACCACAATCAATACCATTCGGTTGTTGATGCGCTGTTGCAAAAACTACTGGAGGTTGATAAGGATATAATCTATTTAAATATTTCATTTGATCCTTATTTAAACAACCTAAATTAAGACTATCATAAATATCCATTGTCTTGCTCCATTGTAATAAGTACATATCCAATGACCAGCAACACAAGAACCACTAAAAAGTATTTGAATATGCTTTTGATTTTTTTTTAATAGAACAAATTTGATCAAGCATATTTAAATACAAGGTACTTTGCATGTTGAAAATAGAATTAGATTCTCTTCTCAACAATTTTTCAAATTCATATATATGATTATCATTTAGCATTTCTCCTTCTTCGTCAATAATTTTAAAATCTGTTTCACTTAAATTAACATACCTTTCTTTTTGTAACATGATTTTCTTAATGCAATTTACAGATGTAACTTTGACAACTTACCCCACAAAAATCCTCTTCTGTATAATTCACCCTAAAATAGTATTACAAATTTTAAAATATTTTAATTTAATGGTGCTTAAATTTGTTGATATTTTAAATAGCCTTATGTTATGTAATCTGATTCTTATTCGTCATTATGTTGACATAATTCTTATGTTGTTTGAAAGACATTTAATGTAAGAATTTTTTATTACCCCCTAACAGCAACGGACTTTTAATAATATCCCATGGACGTCCTACCCGCATCCGGAAATTTGTATATTTCTAGGATGTCCTCAAGATATCTACGGATATACCTGAGACATCCTAAGGAAGTTAAACTTTCCGGTCATCCCCAGGACATTCCTAAGATATCTTGAATATCCAAATAGTGATGGGGGATCACACGTTAAGTGATCAAGGTTCAAAAAATTTTTTCTTCAAACATGCTTACACTCGATGCAGTTGTAGTTCTCATAAATGTTAATTTTTGGTAAAAAAATTTTTTATTTACATTATAGATCCGTATTTTCCGAGGGGGAGGAGGTCAAAGATTTGGGATTTTACAGTACACCGCAAGTTTTAATAATTTTTAGGGTTTCGTAGCCCAGGGTCGAAAGCCTAATAGTTTCGTTTTGGCGTTCGTCCGTCCGTCGTACATGGTAACCGCTTCCATGGCAACAGTTACTATGGCAACAGTTACTTACTATGGCAAAAGTTACTTACTATGACAATAGTTAGCATAACAAAAGTTACTATGGCAATAGTTGCTATGGCAATAGTTGATTTATAAAGCAACCGTTGCTATGACAGTGGTCAATATTACCACGAGGAGGATGTATTTTTAATATTTAAATTATAAAAATAGATGGATTCATTCGATATGCGGACAGACAATATATATATATAGAACATGCGGGACAGACAAAATATATATAGAATATGCGGGAAAGACAGCCACTTGAAATTATTATATGTAATTTTAAAATTTTTTATAATTTTTAAAAATTAACAAGTAAGGTTATAATAGGTATATTGTTATATTGATCAAAAAACATTTTTAGTCAAATTATCATATATTAATGTATTCAAATAATAAAATTTGCATTAGCAAATATTTAATTAAACAAAAAATTTGTATGTAAATATTATTTGAATTCGAATTTAAAAGAATATGTGTAATAGAAATAAAATAGTCTAGATTAATAAAATACTATCGGATTGTCTTAAGTAAACTTTGAGCGAATTTTATCAGGTTATTCGCTCAAGTTTGAGCACATTCATTAATATTATAATTATTTATAATGATGAGAATTAATTAATATGCATATATTAATTACTATATTATTAAAATTCAATTTAACATAATTCTTCCACAAATCAACTAAATAATTACTAATTTCAATTTCTCTTTTTAGCATACTGGACTATAATTAGATCCAACATTTGGTTCAAATCAAACTCATATTGAGTGAAAACTTGATCAAATTCGCTCAGAGATTGATTGAGCGATCAATTCATATGTATATTCTATTTTACAAGAGACCAGAAGTTTTTTGCTCATCTAGTTGTAAAAAAATGAACTTTTATGTGAAATAGCAAACGATTTCTATTTTTTTTTTTTTTTAAATGTATATATATATATATATATATACAGTCAGCACAGTGGGAAAAATAGGTTTTCAACATAAGTTGCTTTCTTATAACTAAATGTAAGGAAACTAGCTGACTATAAAATAATAAATACAAATTTGAAGTAGGTACTTTAATGATATAGTCGTAGTCAATGACGCCTTCCCTTTTCTGTCCTTGTCTTACAAACGGGATTTCATATATATAATACGTACGTTAGAAAAGGGCAAAAAAAGTATAGGCCAGAAGGATCTTTTATGGTTTTATGGCTTTTCATTGCAAAATTTAAAATTGTTGCATTTGAAAAAAATAATTTTTAAATATTATATTTGTGATGTACATGTTAATACAATTACAACGGTATATAATTTTTTGCAAATATTTTTAAATTATTGAAATTTAATTTTAATTAATGGAGTAGATTGTTGTATAATCATTATGTAATTTTAAAGTTTTTGCATAAAGTTTTATATGATTGGAATCGTTAAAATTTAATAATTACAAATATAACATTTAAAAAAATATTTTTTTAAATTTAAATAATTTTTTATTTTGCGTTAAAAAGTCATAAAACCTGAAGGACCCTCGAAAGGACCCTTCTATTGGAAGAAGGGAATATATGTATACAAAAGGTAAATTGTAGTGGGTAAAAGTAAATAAGAGGTTTGAAAGGAATAAAAAAATTGTCCTGAGGATTTCAAATACATATTTAAAATTTTCATAGAAATTAACTATTCAATTTTTTAATTTTTAACCATTTATAGAATTTTTTGTATGTCTAGAATCCTGAAAAATTAAATCTTCCAAATATCTCATTTTCATATGAATAATACCAAAAATATAGAAAAATTTTTTTTTACAAATTTAATGGCTTTCTTAACATAATAGAGTTATATGGTGGGTCTGAGTGGCTTTGGTACCTCTCTTAGGACCCTTTTTACAAAAAAATAAAACGTAGTGAGAAATAATCACTTTTCAGAAACATAAGGTCACGGTGGTAATCGATCTACTTTTTGTGACTTTACCGACAGAAGTGACAACACTTTAGACATCTCTATTTACTTTGCAAAAAATCAGCTACATAAATAAACACGTCAAAAATCACGATTAGTGCACAGGTGGGGACAATCCTCTACAAAAATTACTTTTGCGGTAAAAAGATGTAATTTTCGTAGACTACACTTAGGTATCGGATTTTCATATTAATTTAAATTAACTCACCTAATTTCAATTCCGTCATCTTTTATCTCGGGATAATTGAATTCACTGCTTGGTGTCAGTATACTATCGTTAATATCGTATTGAAGTTGATCTGTTATTATTGGTTCTAATTTTTCCATGGGAAATACAACTGCTTTTTCTTCATTTTTCTCATTATTAGAATTATTTCCATTTTTTAATTGCACCATTTCTGAAAATAAAAATTATTTTATACGTTTGTAGTAATATAATTTTCTTCAGTTATTCGTACACTTTATGGGCACAATATATTTTTCCACAAAAAAGTTCTTATGTCGTTTTTAGATAGTTAGATACTCATGTGCATTTAAATGATTATGAGTTGCAAAACCTCCTTGCCTTGCTCTAGACGAAGTTATACAGTTTCTTGAAATCGTTTCTTTAGGGAATAAAGCAAGTTGAATTGGGATTCGCCGCTAAACCCCATTTGGCCAAAAATTTGTTTTGCTTAAAGAACACTTTATAGGCATAGAAATGATATGCTATATGGACCCGGCGTAGCTCATTAGAGGTAATTTTTAATTTATTCATTGTTAATCACGACCAAACTGTTATAATAACTTTAAACGCGTTATTCTAAAAACTACACTTGAAAAATAGGTGTGCACTCTAGCTGCTACAAATTTCAATCGATGTATGTGTGGATCCCTTGTTTGTGAACATGATAACTTTAACTTTAAAGTTAAAAAATCAAAAATTCACATATTAGCTGAAAAATTTTGTATTCTCAAATGTTTATATTATTATATTATTTATGTATGTTTATTTCAATGTTAATGCTTTCTCCACGAGGAAGCAAATATTTTTGCTGATAGTAAAGAGGAAGCAAAATGTTCATGTAATGAACATCTGAATTTACAACTTGTTTATATATATATATATATATATATATATATATATATATATATATATCAGCCTAGAGAGTCGTTAAAATTGTCGAGGGCTCTGTAGTCCATAAAAATCATCTAAAACAAAAATCCCAAGAATTATAGGTTAAACTATGATCGTAAAATGCGGATAAACCTCAAGTTGCAAAAAATTTTTTTTTGCAAAAATGTCGAGAAAAAGAAAAAAGTGGATGTAAAATTTTGTTATTTATTTTGCTCTAACTTTTCTTTATAATAAAAATTCATAAATATTTGAAGTTCATCCGCATATTTTAATTATCTTTAATTTAAGACCTCAGCGAAGTAAATCGGTTGAAAATTCGATGAGCTATATAAATCCCGCCAATTTGAAAAACATGGTTTCGAGAAAAACGCGTTTAAAATTTTCGGTTATTGTGGTATACGTACTTGATGCGCTCCGCTTATAACACTATTTAACTATATTTGCAGTTCGAATTTGTTAAAACAATTACACTCTCTGACATTGATTTTGCCCCTGGTATAATTTTGATCACTTTCGATAGATTTTTGCTCGCTGATTCGGAATCTGACAATAAAAATGCTCTATAGCACGTCTAGTTTTTGAGAAAATTAGTGTGGAAAGTCAAAAAAGCATGTTTTTGACTATTTTTGAATATGGATTAAAAAAACAAGACGTGCTAGAATTTTGTCATAATTTATTTGCACCGTGTATAACCCTAACATTACGAACAAGTGATAAACAAATGAATGCATCACCATTCAAATTTAAAAAAAATTATACGGTGTTCGGTTACTTTTTAATTTAATTATAAATATTGTTTTAATACATTTAATCTAGTTTTAAAAAAAAAATTAACAAACAATAATTGTTAAATTAAAAAGTAACCTGAAAACCGTAAGAATTTTTTTTGAATTTGAATAATACATTCATTTGTTTATCACTTGTTCGTAATGTTAGGGTTATACACGGTGCAAATAAATAATGACAAATGACAAAAGTAAGGGCAAATGAAAAAATGTTTTTTAATCATTTTATCGTAATGCCTTTAAATTTTCATTTGGTGGAATTGTTCTTTAAGATTCCATCTTTCATTTGAAACCAAGAGTTAGTAGAGCAAAAATACGTAGGTGTAAGGTTCTGTTTTTTAATAAAAATCAATTATTTTATTTTTTATCTCCTAAGTTTGAATTAGTCCGATTAAGGGTGGTTTTTTCGATTTAAAAAAAATCAGAGGGGATGGAGCAATTCTGACTTCATATTCGTTTTCAGTGGGCCAAAATACTATAGGAAATATATGTATAGTTTAAGAAACAGAAAACTTTTTTTATGTGCCTGTGATATTGTCAAGAAATAAACCATCTAAAACTTTTTTTGAGTTAAAATAATGAAAAAAATTAATGACGATAAATTAAATATGAGCATATTTTTTTACGAAAAGTTTTAAGATATTTTCTCGAAAGTAACAAAAAAAATGCAATTTTCATTTGGAGAATTAATAAACACTAAAAAATATACCAACTAAGATTCAACGATTACGAAAATAACAACAAAAACTTTTTGTAACATAACATATCGTCACTATTTTACTGATTTTGACAGCCATTTGGCAAGTGATATATTTTTTTAGTATCAACAGCGCCAATCTCCTCCTATTGCCAGAATCCCGAAACGTCTTATGACATATATTGCCTACCATATAGGCCTACCAAATGGCTGTCAAAATCAGTCAAATACTGTTGATGTGTTATGTTAAAAAAGTTTTTGTTGTTATTTTCGTAATTGTGAATCTTAGCTGGTGTATTTTTCAGTGTTTCTTAATTTTCCAAATGAAAATTACATTCTTTTTAGTTATTTCCGAGCAAATATCTTAAAAGTTTTCGTAAAAAAATATGCTCATATTTAATTTATCGTAATTAATCGTCATTTTCATTATTTTAACTCAAAAAAAGTTTTAGCCGGTGTATTTCTTGACAATTCCTGGTGGATTGTGTAAACTGGGAAGTTGACTGAGCTCGGTGAAGTTTCGGTTAGTTTGGGTTTGAGGCAATATATGGCAAAAAATAATTTAAATATTGGTAAAATTGCTATTAGGAAGTAAAAATTAAAGATTTCTGAGTCGATTTATGCAATATTATTGGATAATTATCTCTTATTATTAAATAATTAACTTATTTAAAGTGTAGTGTATTTACCTGTCATGGTTTATTCTATTTTATGATTGAAAAAAGGGAAATGAATTAATATTAATTATTTTTGTTATTTATATACGTGTTGATCAATAGATATATGGCGCTCAAAAATATTTTGTGTAACACGCCTGGTCGACTTAACGCGCGAAACGAATTCAAATTCTTAGTCTTTAATAAAGATAAAAAAGGGTCTTAGAAAAATCAATTTTAAATATAAATAGACGATGATCGAAAGTCTCAGGCCCGTTCCACAATTAAGAGCTTGGAAGCTCAACTCCCGCAAAGAAATAATTATTTGCTGAAATAGTTGATAAAAAAAATGTGTTCCGTTAAAATAAATACTAGTCCAATTAATTTGCACAATCCTGATCTACAACTCGTTTATTTAAAGAAAAATGCAATCAATTTCGTATTCTCTACAATTATTGTTAATGGCTCGAAGATCGGATAATATCTGTCTGTCGAAATCATTCTTTTTGTCATCGTTACGGGAAAAAACTAGACCCCACCAAAAATCGAGGGTGGATGGTCTTACTCCTCCCCCAATTTTCTTAAGGGGGGAACCTCGTGTAAATGCATGTTTTTTCAGGAATTTTTTTTAAAAAACTGGTCAAATTTATTGAAGCAAAGTAAAAGCATACCTTAAAGTACACAATATCGATGGCTGGGTGTAAAAACATGATACATCGAATTGGCGTTGAAAAGCATGATACGTCGGATTAACGTTGGAAAAAATGATACATCGTCGTTTGATTTGAAGAACATGACACGTCGAAAACGAAATTTTTTTTCAAATTTCTGTTGGTACCACTGATCGTGAAATTTAAAATGTGTCAAATCTTTGAAACTGTTTTATGAAACAAATGATTTTGCTTCATAATATGTTAGTTCAAAGAAAAATTAGGTTAAATAGCTTTTTATAAAGTTTATATTTAGATTGATAAAATCTGTGATTTTATAAATAATTCTATTTTATTATAAATATTTATATAGTAAATATTCTATTACAATTGGTGTTGTTTAAATATTTGTTTAAAGAGTCAATCATGCAGAGTAAGTAAAGTATATTTTTTAAAACACAATTATTAAATAAATTAAATTAACTTAGGTAAATTTTTTCTAGTAAATCCTCCAATTATTCATTTCCTGGAGTATTTGACACCCATGACGTTGTCATACAGCTATAAAAGTAATTAATAATACAGACGACCATTTAAATACAGTATTGTAATCCCGTTGATTTAAAACGAATTTCATGTAAAATATTCAAAATTATATGTGTATAGTGCAGGATTTTACTTCTATTATTTTAATATCATCATATATTCTTAAAAAATGTAATATATAACAAACTATTTTAAATTTCGCGGTCAGTAGACCATTTTGCAAAAAAATAACTTTTTTCTTTTATAAACAATGTTAAAAAACAATTGTTAAAAAATTTTTGTTAAAAAAAGGAGCTCGTCATGCAATAGCCAGTAAGATAAAGAAGATTTGTGGTAAGTATGATTAAAATCGGTCAAAAATTGGCTGAGTTACATTGCACGGCGCAAAATCAAGTATGCAACTTCAAACTCCTTTAACACCGCCATTTTGTAATATTTTTTAATAAAAAATTTTTTTTATAAAGCTCATATTGTGTACTTTAAGGTATGCTTTTACTTTGTTTCAATAAATTTGACCAGTTTTTTAAAAAAAATTCCTGAAAAAACATGCGTCGCCATAACACGTCGTCGTATTTCACTCGCAGTGTATTCGCGAATAGTTTTTAAAACATTACTATCAAATTTTTGAGTTTTAATGATAAAATTTCATTTTTCTCATTTGACGTACTGATTGATTTTTTTCAAAAATTTTTCAAAAAAAATTACTTCCTTTTATAAAACTTTTAAGCCTAGCACGATAATGGGCTAGGCTTAAAAGTTTCGTAAAAAGTAGTTTTTTTGGAAAAAATTTTGAAAAAAATCGATCAGTACGTCAAATGAGAAAAATAACTGCCATTCCAGGAGTTTTTTAGCACTTTTCGGAGTAACCTTTCCAAATTAAATGAAACATTTTTCTAATAATATTTATTAATATAAAGGTCCAAAAAAATCACTTTTTAAGTAAAAAC